GGTGGGTGAAATGTCCTGGAAACAGCTATTCACAACAGCAGCATTAGACAATACTGAAGTAATCTAAAGACCAGCAAATCACTGAAACACTCTCATTCAGGTATATGGGCTATTCTAACAAGAGAAGTTAAGACACTGCACATTTTTAGCTAATATCAGAGCAAAGTTGAGCTCAAAGGTTCAGGTAAAAACTATGAAATTATCTGTTTGAAGTAAAACACAAATACACCTCTCTTCTTCCTCTCCATCTGATTTCAATGAGAGAGTGCGTCAATTCACACACTCCCACTCAGATTTATTGTCATTGTTATATAAGCTGGACTTTTAACACCCTCACCACTGAAACACAGAAGAAGTAGAAAAAAAGACTTCATCCAAATCTCGGACTGAAAATAACATGAAGAGAGGGACATGCCAGTGTTGTGTCTTTATAAGACTAAACTACTACTCCCCTCCCACTGTTAAATTTGTAATTAAGGTGTTTTACCATAGGCCTATATTTTGGTACTCCTTCAAAGCACACTATTTGCCTAAAACAAGTGCCAAAACCATGGAGAATGGCATCACTTTATAGGCAGAAAATGCATGCCAGAAGGTTAGAAGCTATTGGGGTTTTCGCCTTGTTTTGGGGGTTTTTGTGTTGTATATTTTTTAGTAAGAATAGTAAGTAGAAATACATATGCCAATCTTTGATTTACTGACATCTAGCACTACACCATAACCAGCTTTGTTCAAAGATAAGCTCAGTCATGCTCATTTGCACACACTGAGGAGCATGACCTTCAGTCAGCTAAATCAATATTTTAGTCTTTGGACAGTAAATGCTCCTCAAAACCCATCTCCTTCTTTGGCCCCCTCTGCAGGGGCAGGACACAACAGCACTTCATAGGTGCCCAAAGAAAGATGCAATTGCTGTCTGCTGCATCAGCACCACAGATGCAGCACAAAACTGTTCCAGAATACAGATCCACATACTGAGGTAGTGACTACTCGGAGGTGGGATGCTCAAATACCTCAGTGGTTCTAGACCTCAGCTGTTTAGCTGCTGTACAGAAAGCTTCTTTTTTGCTGTTGCAAACTTTTTCCCTGGAGATAGTTACAGCAGTGTGAAAACATCACAGACAAGCTGTAGAGACATGTTATAAGCATGAAAAGAATGAAACAATAAGCAATAAAAACCTTCAGGATTTTCTCTGACATAAGTGCAGCTAGTGCTCCTTCTAGCTTTGTACTAGGAAGCAGAAGTGTCAAGTGTATAAGGGAATTCTAAAGGATGAAAATATGAAGCAAATAGATCACCTGAAATAAGGAAAAAATGGTACTACAATCCCCACAACAGCATTCTCCCCTAAAAAGTAATTACATATTGACTTTTGCTGAGAATGTATGGCAGAAAAAGTAGGGCGCTCAAACTATTATGAAATACTTGGGCTTCTTTACAGGATTGCAGCCAGAAGAAGGGCAGAACGTGGCAAGAACTTCAGACAGAACTGAATAGCCCACAACAACAGTTCCAGATGACAATCACCTTTCCCCAATTGATTCCTTGTCCTTCCCTTGTAATGCATTCTATGAGTGTGAAGGTAAGGAGCGCTCTGTGTGAACCCTCCAAGCATTGAAGGAAAATTTACTGAACTCAGCATTAACTATTCAGCAACTGGATCAAGTCCCAGTCCAAAGTATTCTTAGCCAGCTGTGGGACATTCAAGGGCGACTGTCACAGCACATGTCACCAGTACCTGTCACCAGCAGTTGAGAGGGCCATAATACACAGCATCCCCATACAATTCCAGAGAGCTTCAGCCCATACAGAGTAACATTGGAAGGCTTCAAGCATCTGCCCATAAAGAGTAACAGCATGTCACTTCAGAAGGCTGTCAGCATCTGCTCTTCAGCCCAACCTTTTACACCCCTCATGCTGATGCATTGCCCCTGGGTGCCCTCTGCTCCCTTTGGTGGTTGCTCAGTGCCCCTGGGCACTCCATGGCTCATTGCTGGCAGTGCTGCTCACCTGCTGCTCACAGCTGCACCCATTGGGGATGAGGCTGGGCCCCACTCCCAATCACCACAAACTGTGCGCCTACAGGCAACCAGACCAGCTGTAGGTCTAAACATATTCAAATATTTCTGGGCAGCCACAGAGACATGAAAGCAACAATCTCCATGATACAGAGGCTTTGGACATGATCTGTGTGTCAGCCATCACTCTGTGCATGTGTCTGTGTACTGTGGCAGACTCTCTACTTGTGACCAAATCGAACTGCACAGAACATTGAAAAATTGATAAAAGTTCTACCACAGCACAGAAACACCTAAAGTTCAGAATACTATTTAGACAGCTGAAAACAAGGCAAGAAACAAAACTAACATGCTTTTAAGGGTAAAAGACAAAAACCTTTCTCAGTAACATTTGTGTCTATTTCAGGAAGTTCCTTATCTCTTAAGAAATAACCTCTCAAATAGGACAGTTATGATGGGGTTTTCATTGTGGGAAATGCACAAAATCCATTCTTTTTGGTTCTTTATTCCTGCAGCCCTGACCTCCTCTATCATCTGTCTAAAAGAGTTTTGTTTTCTGTTTTGTTTATATTTCCCATGATGTATGAAGCAACCCCTTTGTAGAAACAATGCAGCATGATCTAATGCATTTATGATCCCCAGTATCACTGTGTTTTCTTTGTGTTACGTCCTTCAAGAAAAAAACAGGTTTTCTTCCCCCAGGACACAGTTCAGCTCACAGTGCTGGCCACCACAGTCAGAAACAGTGCCCGTCTTAAGAGTGGTTTAAAGGAAATTCTTTTAAATATCTTTACCAGCATCATCCTATTTATTTGTCTGTCTCTTCAGCAATCTGTATAAGGTGAGTAATGCCTTGTCCCTATTTTGCTTTGTTATACAAAATGTAACTGAGGAAACTCATTATACCTTATGAGCAGTGTTCAGCTGTTGTGTAAAATTTCAAGTAGCCAATACTACCCTATAGACTATACGTCAATTATGATCATCTGCTTTGGCTTTTTTCTAAGCCATACTCACTTATGCTCTTAGTCCAACAATTTTGTCTTGGATCAAAGCAGAAATGGTCTGACTTCAGTAAAAGTGCACCAGAGGTCCAGAAAGAGCAAAGCAATGAGCCTGCAGCTGTAAGGTGAATAGCATCAGGCAGTGCTCAGTTAAATAACAGGAACTGGTATGCATGCTACAAAAAATATTGTGGCTTGATATTTTACTTACTGCTTTTTACTGGTACCTTTTCATGTCCTTTCTGAATCAAGTTTAGAGGTACTGCATGTAGTGCTTTCAAACCATTTTTCACAAACCAGCAATGAAGTAGAACTCAGAAAGGAAAATTAACATCCAACAGTTTCTTCAAAGATGAACTTGACCTCTATCTTGTCATCAAACTGACCCAAGACTGCTTGTGGGCATGCAATCTCAGCAGCTTGTAAAGATAGTTTGAACTGTTAGACAGTACAGGACTGTGACACATAATTCAGTTGAAAATAAATGGAAGCATACAGAAGAGGAAGTCTGTAATCAGACAGTTTCAAGTTTCAAAAAACAGAACCTCCACAAGGTTCATCATGTTAAAGTTTTACAGATAAAGTGTACATATACAATATACTTATATTTGTGTAAGGTTTATTTCTTTTGAAACCTCAATACTTCCTTGTTCACTTCCCATCTTTGCTTTGTTCACTTTCCCACTCTGGAGTATGTGCTAAATACTCCATATAAAAAGAACACTGAACTTCTGGTGTCTTAAGATTCATAATGAGAAAGCTATCACGAAATTTTCCAAATGTTTATTGGTAATTTTAAAATGATAAATCTCAAAACTATAAGCCAAACACAATCCCATGATTTTTAGATAAGTATCACAATACCAGCAGAGACAGTTAAAAAAAATCTGAACAGCCAAGAAGATGGAAATGTAATTTATTCTCCATTTCTGACATAGTTCAAAGGAAATTTTTAAAAGATTTTAAAAAGAACAGTTCTTTTGAAAAGAGCCATTACTATTAACACAAATAACATTCCGTATGTGAACACAAATGAAAAAAGTGGAATACAGTGTTTCACAAGAGGATACTGTATCTTACTAAAAGATGTGTACTTGACAGAAAATTACATACAAAGTATACCTAGGAAAAATTTTGCTTAAATAGCAGTCAGCGACACTATCACTAATTTTGCTTAATAATACTTTATTACATAACCAAAAATTAAAGGAAGATCAGAGCCAGCCCCAAGTATTTTTAGGTGTGGGCCTACAAACTAATTTTACAGGCCTCGAGTCAGGTTAGGTATTTCTCACATAACTAACTAATCCAAATAACTCTGGGGAGAGGCAGCAAGCTGATGGGTTTAGGTTACCTATTACCTATAAACCTGTATATAGGTTATAGTTGTATAGATATACACCTATATCTACATGTCTCTGACACCTCACTTATACCACAGAAGTTCAGGTTGTGCAGACCCTTATCTGTTTCAGGAGTCAAACTGTCTGGACTTTGTAACAAACCTGCTGCTTGAAGTTAGTAGAGCTGATAACACCCACCCCTTCTCCCATCGAAGTTTTCGTAAAGATATTAGCACACATCCTCCCTATCAATCAGAACACTGGAAAAGCAGGTTAGACACCAAAGTACTCTAGTAAATCTTTTTTAAAAGTGCTTTACAGAGCGTCGAATTCTAGAGGAATTTTCCTTGCGTTACGCACTGGACAGGGGTAAGGTGAAATATCATCTTTTAAACAGACACAGAAGATATAGAACCACCCCCAGTGTTGATAAAACCCAACAGAGCCACGCCACGGGGAGGGAGGGAGGGGACTGTTGTTCACCTGCGGTCACACCGGGATCGCCCGGGCACTGCTTCCCCACCTCCCGGAGGCAAGCAGGTGCCCAGCTGCCGGGCAGCTCCGTGCAGCAGCGCCTCGGGCTCCCTCTCGGCAGCGCAGCCCGGAGCGAGGGCAGACCCTGCGCGGGATGCCGATGCCGTGGTGGCAGCGGGCCCCGGCGGCGCGGCGGCGCTGGGCGCTGCTGCTCGGGCCGCTGGCGCTGCTCGCCGCCGCCTTGGCGCTGCGCGGCACCGCCCGCCCCGGCCCCGCCGACCACCCCCGCCTCTACCGGGCGCTGGAGCTCTCCCCCAGCCGCAGCATCAACTGCTCGGGGGTCGTCCGCGGGGACCAGACAGCCATCCAGGAGGCGCAGCTCTACAACCTGGAAGTGGCGAACAGAAGGGCTTCACCGACGCCCGGCGAGTACCTGAACATTACGAGGGACTGCAGAGCCTTCAAGGAGACCCGGCGCTACATCGAGTTCCCGCTCAGCCAGGAGGAGGAGGAGTTCCCCATCGCCTACTCCATGATCATCCACCACAAAATCGACATGTTTGAGCGACTCCTGCGGTCCGTCTACGCCCCCCAGAACGTTTACTGCGTCCATGTAGACAGCAAATCCCCGGCCGCCTTCCAGGAGGCCGTTAGGGCCATTGCTGCCTGCTTCCCCAATGTCTTCGTGGCCAGCCGCCTGGAAAGCGTGGTCTATGCCTCCTGGTCCCGGGTGCAGGCCGACCTCAACTGCATGCAGGATCTCCTGCAGAGCCCTGTGCCATGGCGCTACCTCATCAACACCTGCGGCACCGACTTCCCCATCAAGACCAACGCCGAGATAGTCCGGGCGCTGCAGCTGTTGCAGGGCCAGAACACCATGGAGTCCGAGAGGCCCTCGGCCGCCAAGAAGCAGCGCTGGGAGTATCACCACGAGGTGGGGGAGACCATCTCTCGCACTTCCCAGAAGAAACTGCCCCCACCCCACAGCTACCCCATATTCACGGGCAGCGCCTACAACGCCGTCACGCGGGACTTCGTGCGGTACATCTTCGAGAACCCCACCGCACAAAAGTTCCTCGAATGGTCCAAGGACAGCTACAGCCCTGACGAGTACGTTTGGGCCACCCTGAACCGCATGCCGGGGGTGCCCGGGGGCACACCCCTCAGCGATAAGTTCCAGCTCTCGGACATGAACGCCCTTCCCCGCCTGGTCAAGTGGGAGTACCTGGAGGGGGACATGAGCAAGGGCGCGCCCTACCCGCCCTGCACCGGCCGCCACCAGCGCTCCGTCTGCATCTACGGAGTGGGCGACGTGCCCTGGATGCTGCAGCAACACCATCTCCTGGCCAACAAGTTCGACCCCGAGGTGGACGATGCGGCCGTCCAGTGTCTCGAGGAGTACCTGCGCCACAAGGCCCTGTACGGCCGGGGGCTCTGAGAGGGAGCCGCGGAGACTCTGCCAGGGACTGCTGCCTTCCGTGGGCCACTCCAGCCGACGGCGCCTCGGGGACGGCGGGAGAGGATCCCCCGGGCCCTGAGGGGCCCACGCCTCGGCGCGGCCCCGAGGAGAAGCCTCGCGGGCGGGCGCGGGGCTACGGCCCCGCCGAGGGTCGGACGAACGGACAGACGGACGGGGTGGCCCGGCGGAGGGAAGGCTCAATTCCGTCCTGCTCGGCTCCCGTCCCGCGGGGTCCCCTCACGGGGATTTTTTTTAAAAAAATCTATTCAAGTAACTTTCTTGTAAGTAAACACTCACCTTTACAGATTTAAGGTCTACAGTGGAGAATTAGCATTATACAACGAACATCTGAAGCAATCCCAAACACCAGGCTACATTTAGATGAAGTTATGACTGCAGTCACATGGATCTTTGAAACATTGATTTAAATAGGATGAGAAGATGAAGTAACTGACTGGAAAAGGTGTCATTGCAATTTTGTTAGACATTTTAAAGTGAACTTGGTTGCAAAATAGTGATTTTTAAAATGCCATGGTGATTTCACAGACAACAACAGCAGGTACTGGGAAGAAAAGGTCTCAAACATAAATACCCAATGTATCATTGGGCATTTGTTTAAGAAAAAAGAGCAAATGAATAGAATTACAGATCCAGGGGGGAGCTGTTTCCAACTTACCTAAGCAGGCATTTGCTAAAGAGATTAAAGCTTTATGCTAACCTGATGGTAACATACAAGTTTTTTAAATGGTTTCAGCAGCAAATTCAATATTAAATAGAAATTATCTCCATGTCTAGTTCATTCTTTTAGAATGAACAAAACTTCTCTGGTGACTTAGGGTAAAAACTCAAGTCTTCCACCATAGAAGACTGCATCAAACCACTGCTGCCTAACCTGATTTTGCTTCTTAAAACTCTTTTGCTTACTTTAAATTAATACATGTTAGTTCAAAATGGCAAACTAGTGCCAAGGGGTTCATTGGGGGGCTGCGATACGTTCAGGTTTCTGGACTGAAACAGGCAGAGAAGGGTCACCATGTTTCTAGCTGTGGCAAAGTGTTGTCTTTTTCCCTTAGAAAATGGAGGGAAAATGTGCATATTCCTGGAGATAAAAAAATCCCCATACTTATCAGTTTTAAGAAATTGCATCAAACCCAAATCCATCCATGAAATGGATATTTGTAAAAACTAAATGATTTATTTCTTAAAGAACAAAGGTGTTTGGGGGGCTGGAAGGAATCCCAGCTTGAAATAGTGAAAGATTATTGAATGAGGGCATTCTCCAGTATTTTGCAAATATACCTGTAGAGAAAGAGACATACTTACAAGTTACTTACAGACTTGTCCCCTTTACTTTGTAAATATGTTTAACTTCTTCAGCTGTTCCTTCTCTCAGAAACATGAAGTATTGCTGGTACACACTGCAATAACAGTGTTTCATTTGTCACCAGACACAAAAATGTTACAAACGGAGAGACAGAGACAAGATTTTTCACTGAGGGTGCAAAGTGCCACTTCAAATCTGTTCCATGGTAAGCCTTTTAGCAAAGTCAAAGTATTTTTTTCTTTTAATGTTACTCACTGCAATTTTTGCCCTTCCTGGTTAGACGAGAATCTAAGCATTTATCCAGATTTGAAAGAGTTTGCTCATAGAATGTGAAGACATCAAGAGAAGTCAGCATACCATAAAGCCAGCTTGGTGACTCAGTAGGAGGGACAGCAGTTATCTAGGGAGGATAACACAGCCTAGGCAGCCCCTCCTGTTCAGAGATCACTGTTTTGGATGAAAATGACTGTTCTGGCATTATTACCTGCAGAGGCAAACAACTTGTAAACCTCAACATCCAATTTGCTTGATCCATAGGAAATTTCCCGTTTCTAATGGTGTTACTATCCAGAATTCCCCTCAGATGATTTGGTTGTATAAACAAAGGCTATCTTGTGCAAATTTATTTTCAAATCACTTCTTTTAGTAGTGACCTAACTTCTTCTGAAAGAATGAGCCTACTCCCAAATGCTTAAGGTGAACTAAGACAAGAGGATTCTTACAAAGGCATGTTCTCAGCATATCCTCTTTCAAAGACATTAGGAATATCATATTTATGAGTGCAGTCATACATCAAAACAGTGATATGTCTCTGCCATTAGAAATGGCAGGAAAAACCACCACTCAACTCTAATACAGAACTTTGCCTTCCAGAGATGTCAAAGGATATTAGAAATCAGATAGCTGGTATCTTAGAAAGTTGGCAACAGAGCCCAGAGAAATCCTGTAACTTGCCAGTTAGTTGTAGAACTGAAAAAATAATGAATTTGGAATAGAGTAGGACCAGCCCAAAGTAATAGAATCATATCAGAGTATAGGACCACCTCCAAAAATAGGTTAAACCCCATATGAAATTAATCAGTAAAATCATGGGCTGTCCAATTGGAAGCCATATCAGAAATATTAGCTTTGTGTAGTAAAAAATCTACTTCTGACACTTCTGTCTACAATTTTTAACTAAAAACTTGAACTCTAGATAAGCCACCAGTTGTTTAAGGAGGTAATATGCTGCAAATTTACCTTTCAAGAAGTGCATAGGAGGCAGAGGCAGATGAAACTATAGTTCTGAGATTTAATAACAGATTTATTTTTCTAGTTTAAACCTGTCTTTATGTTTTATTTCCAATTGCCTTTTACTTTATTTTTACAAGAATAATGTGGCTTATTACATACTTACACACCAGGTCCATAACAGCTCTTTTTTAGCTTTAGTTAGGAGGGTTTCTTTCCTTCTTGCTTCACATTTGATAGTTTATATGATCACCTCTGAGATGCCCTATAATAAAGAGATGGGTCAATGAAAATTAATTTGGAGGAAAACAGGTAATAAATTCTAAAGGAACAAAAAGTAGACATGAACAATATGAACACAATAAAGGTATCTGCAGTCAAGAGTAAAACTGATTCTAGGAGCAGGGTTAGGTTGTTCTTTTTCTTCTCACTGCAAGAGCAGTGACCATTAAATGTTAACTAGCCTCTGTGAACAATATTCCACTTCCTTAAACAATGCAGGTTCTCCTAGCACAAGATACAAACAAAACGTTAGTAATTTACAGATATATTATCTCCTAGTCCATAATGGGTAATCCTAACAAATGCCACTCTAGGTTACAGCAAAGACAAAGTTCACGTCTCCCAGTACACTCTTACTAAAGTAGCATTCTCCTACTTTCCTCCCCACCCCAAGATTTCTGATTACAGAAAAGCAAACCCAGGTCAGCAGGACTTTGACTGAAATCCTACCCCCTAAGCTGCCAAGATCCCTAAACACAAGTATCTGTAACACTCTCCTCTATCTCATTGTGCCTAGTCATCATGCAGAGGTACATAATGTCCTGATTAAACTTGTCTTCTGGAAATTCATCATAAATTCTTCCTCCTCTGCACTTTAAATTTGTGCCTCTCTGATAACATTTGAAGTCAGGTATTGACATCCTTGACTGAGCAAACAGCTTACATCAGATAACATCCTGGTTTGCACACCTATGAAATTGGTAAAATCCTTTTTCTTGGAAACCATGTTTAAACAGGCAGTCATCCACAGCCAGTTCAGCACTGATATTTACTCTTCCCTTCAATTTCTTTAAGTTAATCTACTTCCTAAATAGAAACATCTATTCCAGTTCAATGTCAAGGTGCAAAGATATATTTTACTTTCTCTCTGCTGCTGAGATGTGGAAGCAATTGTGATCTTTCTAAATAAAATCGACAAATAAATAAATAAACAGAACACTACAGGCAAAGAAGAACCAAATAGGCAGCAGCAAGTGTGCTGATGCTCTAGCAAGTGAAATTATGTGTCTTCCACTGGATATTACAAGTTTAGTACAACAGAAGTGTGGTTGATACTTTTAGTTGTAAATTCAATCTTCCAAGACCACAAAGTACATTAATCACATGAACTTTGTAGGATTATCTGAAATTCAAACACAAAAAAATAGCAAGTGGCAAGAAAGTTATGGAGAAAAGCAACAAAATGCAGAAAGAACATTGGCACCAGACTACCTTAACTTCCCTTTGCTCCTTGCTCCTTCCATGAACTGAAACAACCTCCACAGGAGTAGATCCAGCACCTGGACAAACACCATCCCGGAAAAATGGTTAAAGTCTGGAGCAACAGGACAAGGGGGAATGCCTTCAAACTGAGAGAAGGTAGGTTTACATAATGGGAAGGAATTCTTCCTTGTGAGGGTGATGAGACAGTAGAAGAGGTTGCCCAGAGAAGCTGTGGCTGTCCCATTCCTGGAATTGCTCAAGGCCAAATTGGACAGGGCTTGGAGCAACCTGAGATAGCAGAAAGTGTCCCTGCCCATGGCAGGGGACTGGAATGAGATCATCCTTAAGGTCCCTTCCAACCCTGGCCATTCTATGATTCTAATGCACACTTAAATGGAACAAAATAAAAGATAAAATTATTTGCATTAGGAGAGTCAAAACGCTACAGAGAACTCAAAATGGAGAAGTCTGTCTAGAGACAGGAAGAGATTACAAGCAGTTGGAGGTCAGAAGAACAAATTTTTATACTTGTATGGGTTGAAATTCAGTTACCACGTGATTATTAGAGAACAAAAAAAGTTTAAACCTAGGAGATTAACTCTGATGTAGAACTAGAGAAGACAGATACACATTTGCATCCCTTAAGTTAAAAACAGATACTTATTGTGCAATTGAAATAAGAGTAACTTGTCTGCTCTTTTAGTTTCAAAAATGGTTACTTACCAATTTGCAGTGTGCAGCCAAGGGCACGTAGCAGAACTATTTATAGACAGAAATCTGCAATCACAAACACACAAGCATGCTGCCCAGCAGGAGCTGCTAAGCTTTTGCTGATGTCCTCCTCCATCATTCTGTAACAGACATTTCTTGCAATACCTAGCAGTGCAACCGCAGTTACCCTGCAACTAAAAGACTTTTTAATTTGCAACATTTCTCTAAACACACTTAGAAAATGTTGGGGAATATGGTATGTTAATGCTAGTTTTAATCAAAGTTTTCCAATGATCACTCTTTCAAAAGTTTTTAAATAAAAGTTTATTACAGAAATTATTTTGAACAAAAGAAAAAGACAACAGTATCTCTTGTAATTAAAAAAAAGGTAACATTATATTCATGCCCTATAAGGTGAAATGAAGAAATGCTACAGGTATTTCTTCCGCTGTCATTCTGTGATGCTTTCTAGTATGGATTAACTCACATCTGCATCACAGGAATTGAGTATGATCAGTCCCTTTCCATGCTTCTCTCCAGAAAGTGCTGCATATTAACAGAAAATATTGCAGACAAACCACAGGTCTATTCATTCTGCAGTATTGGAACCAGTGTCTAGGAAAGAAAAGAGAAAGTGAGACAAATACACACCCCCACTGAAAACAGAGAAGCAAGAACTTTCTCTAGTATCTTCCCCAAGTTCTAAAGCATTCCCCAAGCATTTTAGAACATGTTCTGTACCTACCCTATTGTCTCTACTGCTCTCAATGCCATGCATGAACTGCTTGTGCTGTTTCACCTCACTTAGCAACACACACCAAGAAGAGCCAGCACAAAACTCCAGAGATGTATTAATATTAAAAATACTAAAAGCTTTGCTCTAACATGTAACAATACATAAACCCTTTACTGCAGTCGCCCACAAGCACATCTGGTTATCATCTACTAAGGAAAAATGTTTCTTCAAATCTGGCACTATAAGCTCTGGTGGAGTGTGGGCTGTAGCTTATCATGTATTTTGAAAGAGGTACATGAATGAGCATGATCTTCATAAAGCAACTCAAACCAATTCTCTGTTCTGACCTTTTGTCAGAATCACCAATTAACGCCAGTGTAGTTTTTGATACACTACCATTACTACTTTCTTGTTTTTAGAGTTGTGGAAAAAGTATGTAACTCAAATATGGAGAACAACAAGCCAGTGTTTAGTACTGTTCCTTCAACAAGTCAGCTTCTCGTGGGAAAAAAAAAAGGTTGTAGTGTTAATAGCAACTTCAAGTCAGCCAACTGTTTAAATCTTATCTGCACAATTTATCAGGAATGAAAATGATTAATACTTGGAACGTAAGGTTTCCTCCACTAGCTATAATAAGCACACAAAAACCAAGCAGTAAGATTATATGCTTGGCTAATACTAGAAGTTGAGAAAACAATAAATCCTCTCAAATCTTTAGAACTACAATTTGAAGGGACTATTGTAAGCATGCCAGGGTCAGGAAGCCATGAAGAACCTGTTTCAGAGGTCTATGATGCATTTAAATAAAGGCTTTTCCATGCTCAGTTCCTGCTTTTAGCATCACTCTCTGAGGATGAAACAAGCAGCACCATTTCACACAGCTTTAGCAATACTCTGCCACATTGATGGTTTTAAAAGTTATAAAGCAGCTTGCCACAAAAGTAACTGAATTACTTTTTCCAGTAAAGAATCTCAAGGGACATGGACAAAAGTAATCCAGTCAAGCAGATATGGATTGCAAACTCCCACAAGCAGTGTACAAACAGAGGGTCTGTTAGGCAACAAATAAGTCTTATGACTTGCAAATGCACGCAAAAGCTTTCCATGGGTTTGTGTCTCCAGAGAATGACTGCTTAGACACTTTTCTCAGACAATTCCTTGCTCAGACAGTTGAAGCACTCTTCAGATTCAATAAAACATGGTGCTATCCCAACAAATAGGTTAGTACTAGAAAACTCACCAGACAGAAAATAAAGATTACTTCTGATTTTCTAATTGCTCAAGTATTATTATGTACTTCCCAGCCACAGGTGCACAGCAGTCCCTAACACGGCTCTACCTCAGTGCCTATGAGTCAGGGAAGCATTTAGCTGGCTTTTGTTTCATCTCTCATCAGACGTTGTAAAAGGGAATACAGAGCCCTACTTCCATCTAAGTCATACAGTCAACCTGGCTTTAGTAAGACACTCGGTCAAATCTCTCTAAAAACAATCAAGACTTGTGTCTCAACCTATTTATATCATGTTTCATACTTACTTTTTCCATCACATGCTACAATTTTCACTTTATCCACTTTCACAAGTTCGGTGACCTCCCTAAATTCCACGTCATTCAGTACAAATGTCCATACATTGTCACAGAACCTGTATGTGTTCAGAGACCCCTAGAAAAAGACAAGACATTTGCTATAGGACACATCTCAAAGGCAACAGAAAATATGATGAGTATCTACTGAACCCTGTCCCTTCTAGAACAGATTGCTACAAAGCCAACAGTGGACCTGAATGCATACAAACTGGCAAGCAAGCAATTCTGAGGAAAACTGGAGTTTAAATGCCCTCCAGTGGCTGAAACTCTCAAAACCACAGAGTGACATTACAGAACATCCAAGGGGAGGCTCCTCAGGTAGGCAAAGAAGTTTTACAATATTTTCAATGTATACAAAGGATCAGTAGCAGGAAACATTTCTTAAAATATTGGACCATTAGAAAAATCAGATACAGCAGTGATCATAACAATGTGTGAATTCTGCAACTGGTTAAACAAAGTGGTAGCTTAAATAAAAAATCACTACAAAACTGACATATATGACATAAAGGGGTATCCCTCCTATTTGATGTATTACTGAGGATGTCAATATGGAAAACTTCTGACCTTCACTTTTACATATTTTAAATTGACATTCTTGAACTTCGAACTTAAGCTCCAGGTAACATTTTTTAAATTTACCCACTAAATACATGCTAAACTGTTTTTTATACCATGCTACATATGCAAAGCAATTTAAGTGTGCTAGAGAAATTATGCATTTTTAACATCTCTATATTGTTTAAAAATCTAGTCTTTTAGGAACCCACATTGTGAATGTGTTCTACATAGACTGTAGAGTAGTATCACAACAAGTTAACACGAAGCTGGGTTTTGTAGTTTTTTTTTTCCTTAACATTACATTCAAGTTGACGTTTAACAACTTGCTGGCTATCTAACATTAATTAGGGTGGCTGAATGGGAACACCACCCAACTTATTTTTCTACGATACCTACAGAAAATAGCTACAAAATGATCCAGTGAAAGGGTGGATCTAAAACTCTCTAGTCTCTCTTCACATTACTCATGTGGCTGAAAATCTGGCCTCATCTCACTTTTGCTAGGGACAGCTGTGAGAAGCAGAAGTCTCCCTCCTCATCTGCAAGACACTGAGGATGGCAACGTTATCCACCAAAAAAGCAATTCCCTCTTCCCTGTTTTCATCATCTGATTTCTGTATTTATTCAAAAGATCCCTGGCAGAACAAGGTAACAAGCCTTACAGCTGCATACAGAATACACATGTAAACAGTCATTATTAGAGCCAAAATGAACCCTCTTAAGTTCTTGCTAAGAGCACATGGCTTTAAATGCCATTCTGCATCAACACTTAGTTGCTGTATCTCATGTAAAAATTTAAGATATCATTTCCTTACCCTGAAATTGACTCTGTTCCTGACTCGCTGTGCCAGTGCTGAATTTATAGCTTTATCAAACTGAAGTAGCACCTGAAGGGCCAACTGAGGTGTGATTTGCTGTGACTGAAGTAGTTGAAAAGAAAACAAGTTTTGAGTTGTAAGTAAGCTCAAACATGCAGTAGAAGTTAAAAACATCAAAACAAAGTTCACTTCAATGAAGCAGATCTCTAGAAGAACACTCTACAAAAAATTATGTTCCTGTATTTATTTCCATTTTTATATTTCAATCCAGTATTACACAAAGATCTCTTATAATAAATATTTACTGGAAATAACTAGAGGAACAGCAAATTGACTCCAATGTTCTAGTTAATCTGGCTGTTAATTTACATAAGACTGTGCCACTTACATAAAGCACTTTCCTTTACCTAAAATACAAAGCAAAAAACATCACAAGTGAATGTAGCACCAAACCCTAACGATTTCAGTCAGGAAGTTTCCCAAACCTTGGCCATAAGTACCCTGACACAGGAACAACAAAGCCGTTTGGATAAAAACTTCTGTCTTTATTAAGCTACTCGCCCAGACCCCAGGCCCCGACCTGTATGAGCTCATCCAGACTCTCCTGAAGGCTGTTGCCCAGTGTGGTGTTCCTATACAGCTGGTACGCCATGGTTCCCTGCGAGGGCTGGACACGTCCTGTTCATCCACGGCTGCGCGCCTGGGCTGTCCTCGCTCTCATCGAAAACAAACAAAGGTAACAATAAAACCTTGCACGCCCCACGGCCCAGCCCGCCGGGCACGCACAGTATAGAGAGCACCCCGCAACACCGCCCGACCCTCGGGCGCGCTCCCGGCGCCGCACAACCGAGAGCCCGGCCCGGCTCCGGGAGCCATCCCGCCCGGAGCCATTCCGGGCGGGAGCCGGGCACCGCGCGGCCCCGCCGAGCCCCACCCGGTCCCGGCCCCGACCCCGCCGCCGCCCCCGGGGAAGCGGCCCCGACCCGGCCCCGCGCCGCCATCGGCCCTCACCGCGCGCGGCCGGAAGCGCGGCCCCGCCCGGCCGGCACGGCCCGGAAGCGGAACGGGCCGGGGCCGGGCCCAGCGGCGCCCTCACGGCTCCGGCCGAGGCCTGCAGAGGGTACAGCTGCGGCTCGGTAAATACAGCCGGCAGTAAAGACCCACACCCACACACGTGCTCATCACATTACCCCGACACGCCTCGGAATGCAGAAAACAAGCTAATTTAAAAAGAAAGGATGGTAATATTCTTAAGAGGTAGGTGAAGTCTTCTACTTACATTTTTTCTAGTAGAGGGAGAAAGGAAAATAGTCACATCTGTGAAGAGTGCTACTAGCCCAATAAAGCCAGTTCTATTATCCATGACTCACAATCTGCTTTTGCATGATTACTACAGCTTCACTTTGTTAAACAGTGCACGATTCCCATTATCACCCACAATAAAGTTTACAGACACTAATTGACAGTGTAATCATTCTAATGTACTGTTCAAACATTACAGCACCTACAGCTCAGGTCTTTCTTGTTAATAAATAGGTTTTGTTAATGAAAAGAAACATTGCGGAACTGCAGAACCACGGGTAAACTAAGCATCTGTTGTCCATGAATGTTTATTTGTAATTATTAACCTGCAATTCCATTTTACCAGTATTAACTAGCAGTTGAGCAAGCTAGAGTAAGGAATATGGTAAGATAAGGACGTTTGGAAAGCACTCTGATAGCTTCTCTGCAGATCATTTTCAATACTAAAAAAATTCATGCAAATCGGAGTAATCTGGGCAGTTCTAATTGCAAAACTGAAAAAAAAAATCTAGTTGAGCAAAGAATGGCTTTAATTTCACTGATTTCAGTCATGCTTGAAGGGAATGAGGAAAAACTAACATGACTGCACCCTCCTCACAAATGCTCTTTTTTCCTGTTAGTTTAATATGGGTAATGGGATGTGATAAAAGAAACAGGGTAGTTTAACATAGAATTTTGAAGCCAGGAAAGCTGCAAGATGTCTTTCAGAAGATTAATATTTAAATATTCCTTACATTTCAGAGTGTTACTCTGACTAAAAGAAGGCGTCCTTAAGTATAATTAAAGCACTTGTTTCAAGTGTCTCTGACAAACATTAAGTGAAACAAATCCTCTTGAGAATGACCTGCATCCACAAGGACTGAGTGAGAATTTCAACTGCAAGATTTGTAAGGCTTCTGTGGTTACAATAAGCTTGCAAGCTGTTATCCCTCTCCTCTCCATTCCTCATATGAGGTTTTTGAGGGAGACTGGAATGACTTGAGAATTCAAGTCATTTCCAAAGACAACAGCTTTTGAGAGGACATGGATTTAAACCACCTTTCTAGATACTAAATACTGTATAAATCTGTAGGATACACTGACAAAAATTTGACACTGAAAGAAATACGCTTTTAACCAAGAAACTTTCTCCCTTGTGACAGTTTTAGTTGATAAAGTGCCTATTCACAATGTACTTCAATATTTTTCAGTCAATACAGACATTTCAGCAGACAGCATCAGTGAAGCTGACATCACCAAGCAACAACACCTTCTCCTGGCCCATGACACACCTGCAGGTCCTTCATAAAAGATTCCATTACTACCACGTGTAATCTAACCTCGAAGTATGACACAATTAACTGCTGGAAGTTTTAAACTCTCATTAGAGCATTCAGGGTATGATGCAACAAAGCTGCTAAAACAGACACAGGCTCTAATATCCTAGTGGACTGCAGTTTGGAGTGTAGCTGCTGTCTCTCAGTACAACGTTCCTCACAGCAACTGGGGCTGTTCTTCATTTGTTTACTGAAGGTAAAGGAAAAAAACATACCAAAGTGTGTTGTTATGAACAAGGTTACAGATTATTCTAGCTAGTTCTACCCTTTTTGGAATAAAAGTTCTTCAGTCTGCTTCAGCTCTAAATCCTTTCCCATTACCCTCCAACAGAACATGGCTCTGCCATATTACACAGATCAAAAACATTCAAGCAAATCCAGAGTCTACTCACATCAGTTTTTAATGACGCTTTCTCCAGAATCTCTTTCCCACTTCTGAATTTACCCCATTGTAGAAATCATCAGGAAATGTCACATCAAGAGGCCACTGGCCCCAACATCTCTATTTCAGCTGTGCACAGCAATAATGAGATACATAATGACTTATTACTACATATATAAATATATATAAACCAATGAGACCTCCAAATCAGAGGTAAATCAGTGACTTGTGAAATTTTTTCTTGACAGGGGTCAGCAAATTCTAGCAAAATTACTCTTACTTTTAGAAGGAAGTGCCATTGAAAGGTGAATTCCCTCCAAAACTGTATCTTATCACAAAGTGATTCAAGTTTTGAAATAATTTTTATTTAAGCATGACATTCCAACTTTTCAGGTTTTTAAATATTAAAATATATTACATTATATTATAAATTCAAAAAAAGTTAAGTTTGACAAAACATTATCCATAGCTTTGGGACCACTTTGCTTTTTGTAAACATCCACCTCACCACTAAATGATGAGCTGCAAGGAGGCAGAGGGGAATAATATTTTAATACACTTCTTTCTCAAGCTGCATATCTTTAGAGACAGAACAACTGCTGTGCTGTATACTCATTCACAACAACTTATACTAGAGAAATAAACCATTTATAAGCACATACACATTTCCAACAGAAACCATACTACTGCAGCATGAAACTGTAGAATCCTTGGCCACCAGGAAACACAATAACAATCCCATCGTTTGGTAAATGTGGCATATACAGAGGAATGGCTAGTCTGTACTGCACTATACACACAGGAAGCCACAGGACACAGAGAACTACAATCCCTCCATTAAAAATATAATTTTACTGAGACCAATGCTTTTATCAATTAGGAAAAAATGGAAATGAGATAATCAGAATGCTTCCTGTTTAGCTTAGGACACGTGCAAACCCAGAAAAAATCAGATTTGCATGGTCGTACAGACCCCACTGTGAAAGTATCAGAAGTAAACAAGGCTGCAAGAGCTCCATGTACTGACTTGAACTTTACAATAATCTGTGTCAACATCAAAACTGAAGCAGGAGATAAGACAGCCCCAAAGAAAGTGCATTTGTGTTCTGCTTTCAGAGCAAGATCCAAACCTGATGGCATGGAAGCAAGGTAACTCGGCATTGATATTATCTCTGTTGTGTGAATACATCCTGCCTATCAATCTCCTTGAAACTCTGATACAAAAACTACTGCAACAAAAGGACTTTGATCTTGAGATGAAAGTATCTGAACTGCAGACTTAAGTGAACCTCCAGAGACATGAGCAGTTTTCCCTCACCTGACATCCATATACTCTCAGAGTCTATGCAGGTATCACTGGAGACAGTGGATTAATTGTTACTTGGTAAGTCTTGACCACAGAATATCTCACAACTGCTATTTATCAGTGTCATGTAATAATCTGGTTGAACATAACTTCTTTTTTTATAAGATAACTGAGTAACATTAAATATAGTTAAAAATGATATTTTTTAGCATTAAGACAAAATTGTGAGCACAATAAACACCAAAAGCAAAGATTTAATATACTTGCTACAACATTATATTGCTCAACTCCTGAATGAATTTATTTGCGTACACTTGCCCTTACATGGAAAATGCAATGTTTATCAAAAGATGTTACAAACTTTTACAATGTATCAACCAGTGCATTACTGTTGTCCCAGTAAGCCTAGACACACTAGTTGTATGTCCAAGAAGACCTCTTGCAGACACAGATTTACCACCACTGTGGGGAGTGAAAACACCCCAACCTTTAAAACACTTCTTAAAAGATAAATTAGTGCTGGTATCATGTGCCTAACAACTTTAGAAATGCATGTTTCATCTACAAGAATGACACAGGTAGCATAAAACTTCTCATATTTCTGCCCAAGAAATGGTATTGTGGCTAGAATACCTGTGTAGCTCCCAGGTTCTACTGAGCATGACCAGAGTTCCCATCAGTAACAATCAAGATTCACCCACAAAGAACTGCAATGAACCCATTTTCTACTGCTAGCTGAGACAGTCTTGACATACTGAAGCAGAATCTAAATTCACAACTTCAACTGAAAAAGGTCTGGTATCTCACCAGTCAGTTCAGCTTTTGTGGCTTAGGCTTAAACCTCCTGGCCAACAAACTGCCACCCACAGAACCGCAGTTCTGCATCCTGAATGATGCACTGAAAGACACCAAAGTTGAAGCTTACTCTGGTGAGGTAAAGGAGTGAGCTTGTGTAAGGGAAATGAACAAAAATAAGGATCTCTGTATTTGCGAATGCCAAGTTAATAATGATTGTTAATATCCGAACAGGTTTTCATGACAACAAAGAAATGCACTTGACCATTTACAGCAAAACAGATTTATACAATAAGAACAAGTAACTTAAGGCCTTGTCTACCTGCAAATGAATTCCTTCAGCAGGTACACACAATATACTGTTCAGTCATAAAAATATATATATTATCTCTTTCCTTTAACATTTAGGTATATAAATATTTTACTGAAGAACATGCATCATTTAGATAAACAGCTGCAAGAACATCCTCTGAAAACATAGGGTTCTTTGCTATTTAGCAGTACAAAATGATTACATATAACAGCAATTAAAGTCAAGACAAACCAATACAGCAGTAAGCAGTTCATGGTGTGCTAATCCAAAGCACCTTTTGCAACAGATTATATAATACATACACACAGAGAATGCACTGTAATGGAGCACAAACAGCATCCTTCCATCTGCGCATTCTTCAGTCTTGTTTGGACTCCAAACTTACTGTTCGCTTTTCTGCTCTTGTTTTCCATTCAGCTCTTGGTCAACTCTGCTTACCAAAGAAAGCAGTAAGATTAAACTATGTTAACATAGTTTGACAGCTCATATTATTAAGAAAAAAATATTAACCTTAACAGGAAAACACAAAGCTTTTATATGGGAAAAGTTTTAGTAAATAAATATTAAATTAAGGTTTTCATTTAATGTAGTCATGATGTTTGGGTTCTTTTCAATATCTATTTTCCTACCACCCCCTAAAAATTAATTAAAATTGTTAGCAAACCATTTAAGAAACTACAGCACTTGAGAGGAAGCATTTGAAAAGTGCAAGTCAAGTTTGACTACAGAGGAAAAAAGCATGGCCTGTGCTCATAGTAACAAATGCAAACAAATACAGTACATGTAACATGACAATACTGGCAAGCACTACCACTCTGATGAATTCATAAGCACTGAATTAATTACCTTCTTGGCTTAATTACTCTAACTTTAAAGGTAACAGCACTAGTTGAATTAACAAAAGTGAAGAGGCTCCTTAACTGCAATAATTTTTCTATTATGTTCTAAGACTCTTGCAATTACCCTGGAAAAATTCACCATCATGCTGATAAAAGTGGCTTTGATTTTGTACCTTATTTCTTACTATCTGCCTTGGGACCAGCAAACAAAATGCTGCTTTGCAGAAACCAGGGGATGATTGGATTGGAACCCCTGCACAAATTGTACTTTTCCTCTTTACAGTAAGAACAAGCTACAGTCTTGATAACATTTTCTGGCAAATAAGTTGTACATGGAGGTAAATTAATTTTAAAACCAACAGCAGTTCTAAAGTGAAAGATTAACAATCTGTCTAACATACCTATAACTATAACCAGCCAGTTTTTCAAAATGAGAGAAACAGTGACAGCTCCTCTGGGCCACAAACCCATGAAAAGGAGCTGCTTTCTACCTGATTGAAGGCTCAGTATCCAATTCTGCCTGTGATCTCTATATCTAATTTTCACTGAAGAACATATTACTTTTTACAAAAGTGGTGGTAGTATAGGTGAAGTTATCAACAGGGACACAAAAAAGTGCTTGTTCTACTGTAGATTTTTTACATTATCACTTAATTGGAGTAATTCCTGAAGAATGTTCAACACATGACTAGATTTACATGTGAGCTTCCAGAAATAATTTAAATTCCTTTTACTTCAATCTCAGTGTTCCTCTACCCAATTTAGACAATAAGCCTTCCTTAATAGTTAGGCACACAAAGGAAAAGTAATTTAAAAAACTCCAAAGTTAGTAGCAAAATCTTTCAGTCAATTTGTTAGTGAGTGAAAAAATAACATATCCATTCAAAAAATTCATCAGCTGTGAAATAGCTTGAATAGTTAGCAGGAGACTGGAAATTAACAAAGTGTTTATTGGGAAGGAACATAGGCACTGCAAATACAAACAGCACTAAAATACTAATTTAGATTGCATCTATGCAAGTTAATAACTAAAAAGGTAGCAAATACCAAAAATACAAGATTAAGTATTAGAACTTCTTACAGAGTTGCATCTCTGCTAATGCATAGCTACAGCTTAGCACTAAGTACAGCTCATCTCCAGAGATCAATTCCTGTTAGAAACAATGACATTTGCTTTAATGGGTTCATACAGAAGCACTACTTTTGCCTCTTCAAGTTGAGAACCCATGTATCCCCTTAAAAGTGAGCATCTCACATAAAGGTGTAATAGAAACTATTTACAAATAGCTGTCTGAACACCCAGGGTGAGTTCTTACAGATCCCATACTGCCTGCAAGTACAGTATAGTTGCTGTCATGCAGAAACACTTGGGCACTAGTGCATGTTTATATTTACAAATGCTTATTCCTTTATGCAAGCCAATCAACTGGGAGTTAGTTGCAGTGCAAATTGTCTTATATAGATGCAACCCTAATCAAAAGATGAATATACCTTTTCTGTTTCTTTCTAAACTTTTCTTCTTCATACCTTGGTGAGGAAAAGTTTTATTTCAGTAAATAAACATATAAAAGCCAAAATCAACAGAAGCTGCAAACCAGTTTTAGCATCAATGGTCTGCAGAAACTTAATTTTGAAACTGACATAATTAAGAAAAAACCACAGTGTACCTCCAACATTTATTAGCATTAAACAAAAACCATTAAGATTTACTTACTACAACATAACAAATGAATTCAATATGACCTCTTGTACAGTGTTAGCATTCATCAATAAAACTTAAAGCCTGTATCCATGACAGTTTGAAGCCAGATATAATCCTCCACAGAAATCTGAGAATTAACTCTTTAAGTTAACCATGTCTAGACTTTGCAGAACAGTTAAAGGTTCATCAATACAAAGAGAAATCTTTTAAAACTCAGAAAGACAGTCTGAATATTCATAAGACACCCATAAAACCCCAGACAAAAAATTCTAAAGACAGCACAAGGCTGCCTCAGCTTTGTCACATGTTTCACTCCCACCCCATGAAAACTGTTTTTCTGTCTTACAGAGAGTTAAATTGTGGAGCTGACAGCAGCTGGATGTCTACTGAAATAAGCAGCCATCTGCAGGGGGCACGAGGCTTTGTCCAGCATGGCTGTGCCCTCAGTGCCACCTTCCCCCAGTTTGTGTCACCTATTACAATGCAGACAACACAGGGTTCGTGTGTCACACCCTCTAACAGGCTGTTATCAGGATTGTTAGTGTTTTCATCTGGTTTTCTTAAGACCCAAGTTTATGGTTTCTACTCTACTACTGCATTCACAAATGCTTTTGACAAAAGGATCATCATCTTGTTTGACAGCAGAATTGTGCTGATATTAAAATGGCTATCTTTATCTGGATGGGAAGGAAAAAAAACTTGCACTGATGCTGTCTTCATTTCTTTACAAAGTAGTTTAGAACTGCAGGGAGTAGGGATTCAGCATTTTCCCCATCACTGCTTTTCTTTCAAATGAAAACCCAATCCAAGTGATATTTCAGCACTTAACTTGTTCCACATTTTAATTAAAACACTTAAGAAGACTTATAAATAACTTCAGCATCAACATGCCCACAATTTCTCACTCACAAGCCAGTTTAATACACCCACCAAGATGCAGAACAACTGGAATGAGACCTTCTCTAGAAGGCTTAATTTACACACAGCTCAGTAATTGCACAAAGCTCACTGTGAAAATGACTATACATGAACATTTTGGCTGTCCATGCTACTCCATTCCAAACTGCCTTTAGCAATGAGGTCTAGCATGGACACTCCTCCTAGACAGAGCAATAATCTCAGTTAAGTCATTATGTGCCAAGTGTTACATTCGAACCAAACACTGATTACAACATCCTAAACCATGATCAGTGTAGAAGATGTTGGAATAATAAAACGTACTGTTTTATGCATTCTGGGATGCCAACGTATTCCATGGGGATGAGTTCAGCTAGTTCTGCCAGGGTAAAGACATACCTAATTTTTTGGCTGAATTTTGAGCTGTGGAAGAACAAATGCAGGGTACAGTTACAACTCTAAACATTTTTCATTAGGTCAATATTAAAACAGTCTTTTAAGTTCAAAGCAAACAGTTGTCAGAATTATTTATGAAAAAGCTCCCAGAGCATTACCTAATAAAAGGTTTTGTGATGGCCAGGAGAGTTCTGATGAACCAGGAAGGATGAACTATGATCAACGATTTCAGATTTTTCCTTAACCTGAAGGATTTAAACAAGGGATAATTACTGGAACAAAAAGGCAGCATGACCAGGGGTTTTGGAATATGTAAGAAGTATGTTTTTAGAAGCACAGCTGTCACATAAACACATGTATTCTGTATAGAATAAACATGTATTCTGACATCCCATTATTAGAAGTCAACCTCCATCAGAGGAAAAAACAGTATACAACTGTAAAATAAAAACTAAAGATTCAGTATCAATTTGACAAGGAAGTAACATTCCAAGGAGAAGCTCCTCTGAATATCTTTGCAGATAAAGTAGTTCACAAAGGACCTCTCTTATTAATCATATGTAATACATTAAGTTGTAAGGATATTCTACAGGATAACAATATTCAGTATTCTAAGACTACTATTTTCACTAGAAAAAACCACCCTGAGAACAACAGCCACAAAAAGCATACACAAAACCCCCAAGCAACAAAAAAATCCACCACACAACACTACCAGGCATGTTTGTAGCATCATCCCACATTGCCTAGCTTAGGATAAGGTTTTCAGTACACCAATTTCCTTCATCATCAAATCTTAACCAGAAGAAGCAGTTTTTCCTAAAAACTGCTATCTCTGTCTATCTCTGAGCATGTGAATATTATAAGAAAATATTGCAGAGCTTCTTACCTTCTATCAATTTGCTGGTAACATTTCCTAAGCCAGCCTAAACTTGGCATTTTTCTCCGTGTTGTTGCACCATTCAGGTACACTATCATATAGTTCTCTGCTACTAATAGCTCTAAAGTGCCAATTACATACCTGGAGAGACAAACAAAGAAAATTTCAATATCCACAATCTTCATCTGAAAGTAATTCCTAGTAGTGCTCAAATATATTAAAAATAACAAAAACCCAGAAAGACAGAGGATGACTTACTTAAATAGATTGTCCATTAGGTATCTGTAGTTAGGCTGGCTGCTCTCAGGCATGAAGCAAACAGCAAAAACAACAATGGCATTTAACCCATCACCATAATAACCTAAAAAGAAATAAGCAGCAGTAGTGACAAAAGTGACAATACAGTGACTACATTTACACAATCTTAAGCATAAGCTTTTTCATTATTTACCTTAAAGAGATGTACACACATCCATCTGGACACATTCATACAGTTACAGAAAACATCAAGGTCTCTTTTTCAAGTTTGTCTACTTCTAAAGCAACAGCTGAAGCTGATGTTAATCAAACACTGTATCTATAACCAACATTTCAGTGTACAACCTCAGTAGATTTGATAATATCTTATGTTCTTAAAGTTTAATCAACTTTTCTTCCAAC